TGATGTACATATTACATACAAAAAAATATTAGCTACCTTTAGATAAAATTCTTAATTAATATATTTTAAAAATTAAATGCTATAACTCTACTTATAATGTGATATTTAGTTAAACACGTTAAAAGTTATTCAAATTCTGAATACTCTAAAGAGTATTCATGGACGTCCAATGTTGTTAAATTAAAATATTCCATTAATATTCTAATTTCTAAGCAATTAGGATTGGAAACAAAAGTTTAGAAACATATCCGAAAAACCAACATGACTAAAAATAGTAATTTCATTAACTCTCAACTTAGAATAATGATTGATTAATTATTAAAAAAAGAAGTCTTCTAGATTTCAAAAAAATGTTAGCCTAGTTTGAATTTGAAAGTACAACCATTCCATAAGAATTAGTTAATTTCGTTTTCTATTTGTTGAGATTATGAAACACACGTCGTACACTTTTAACACGTGTTCAATTCTTACTATTAACAAAAAAATTTTATTAATTTTCTACGTTAGTAACTTATTATAATTGTTATCTCTTATACCTACCATTAACATTTTCCAAAGTATTATTATAATAATTAACTTTGTCAGTTAATTATTACTATTATTGTAAATTTTTATAACGGAAACAGAAATTTTGACCCCTTCCAATGAAAGAACATTACGTGCGATTGTTGTTCCCAATGGAAATTAATTAGAACAACAACACTACGCGTGTTTTTCTAATTCTCAAACCGCGTCGAAAGCGATCAATGCATTCAACGCCAAACGTAGAATTTCCTTCTCACATCAAATTCAATCTTTACAAAAATATTTACTTTTCTTTTTTAAGTAAAACCATAATCTATTATTTCACAAACACAGTTATCACTTTATATAAATTTTAATTAATGTTTTCATATTCATTAACTGATCCAAATTTCATCCCCCAATATAATATTTCTGCATTTCACTAAACAAATATGAAAGCCATTATATCTACATTCTCACCCATCTATAAAACTATTTTATAAAGTGAAATTTATATATTATAAATTAATTTCACTTTTAGTTAATTTAACATAAATAATTTTGAAATTATATTAAAATATTATTATATATAATATGATAAATATATTAAAAATTTCGTATCAACAATAAATAAAATCAATTTAAAATATATAAATTTTATTTTACATTGATTTAGGTTTAAAACTCATAAAATTTCCATAACAATATCAAGAATGGAGCACACCAGAGTCATCAACGTGGTTTGACTAAATTATACGTTTTTAAAAAGAAAAAGTTTTAATTGAAAAAGAAATAAGGCTTTCTACATTGAAGCTAGCCTCTACAAATAGCCGCGTTGAGGTTCAAAATTTCTATATACACAACACATCAATCAAATTTCTCTCTCTATTTTCTGAGTGAAGCATAAACACAAACACCATGGCAGATGTTCTGAGCGAAGAACAGATTGGTGAGATCAAAGAAGCCTTTGGCTTGTTTGACAAAGATGGAGACGGTGAGTTCACTTTTTCTCTTTTTCAGTTTTCATTTCAGAAATATAACAATGCTAATAACTTTTATATATATGTTGAATTGACAGGGTGCATCACTGTGGAAGAATTGGCCACTGTTATCCGATCACTGGATCAGAACCCCACGGAAGAAGAGCTCCAAGATATGATAAACGAGGTCGATGCAGACGGCAACGGAACCATAGAATTTGTTGAGTTTTTGAACTTAATGGCCAAGAAAATGAAAGTAAGTATATGATTATATGTATATACTTCCAAACCATGCTTTTCTTCCAGAGATTAACTCATTTTTCTGATTTAGGAAACTGATGCAGAGGAAGATCTCAAAGAGGCCTTCAAGGTGTTTGACAAAGATCAAAACGGTTACATTTCAGCAAGTGAGGTATATATTATATGAACTTTTTATTCTTTCTATTCACTTTTTATATTTTCTTTCTTTGACGGCAATGACAAATCAAAGCGTTCTAAGCGTTTCTTCAAACTTTAACAAAACCGAATCTCTTCCCTTTTCAATATCTTTCTATAAATGTGCGTTTACTTTTCTGGCTACGTAGCAGAAGCTGCATATGCAGGTTTTTTCTTCCTTTTAAAATTTTCAACCCATCTTGGTCAAATTTCCTCCTTCAATTATTGATATTCATGCGGTGGCCTTTTTTTTTTCAATTAATCTTTCCATACATATCAATAACTTATAAATAAAAATATTTAATTATTAAAAAGTATATTTTAAGTTTAACTTAATTTTATAAAATTGGTTTTTAAGATAAAGTTTCCATCTTAGGTAAAGTTTGAAAAATAAAATTAAAATGGTTTGTTTGTTATGCAGTTGAGACACGTTATGATAAATCTGGGTGAGAAATTAAGTGATGAGGAGGTGGCGCAGATGATCAAAGAAGCGGATTTGGACGGTGATGGTCAAGTTAACTATGATGAATTTGTGAAGATGATGATGACCGTTGGATGAAACTTTCATATGTTTTCTTTTTAACGTTTGTTGTACTATAATTAATGTAGCACATATGCATGATGTGAATGACCAATATACATTAGCTTCACATCTCACATATATATATATATATATATCATTTCATTTGTTCAAAATTCCAACCCATAATTATTTTTTATTTTCAGTTTAACATTCCTTAATTATGTTTTAAAATTAAATGGAGTTTGGTTTAAGAATTTCTTATATTGGCCACTCTCCTTCATGACATGTTAATGTATGCTGCAATTTACTTTATTTCAATTATTACTTTTTTATATATATATTGAATTAAAATATAAAAATTGTATTTGAATTTTACGATTTAAAAACACATGAATAATACAAATATTGTCACAATAACGAGCGATTAAAATAAGTTTATAGTTATAGGTTAACTCCATCCGCGTCGAGTTAAGTGAAAATGAAAATATTTTTATAATAAATTAAAAATTTAGACTTGATTTTCCTATGACCTGAATTATTTAAGTTGAGCGATTTAAAAAAATGAAAACAACAACGTTTAATTACAACGACAACATTAAATTAAAACTTTAATATTACTTGGAATTTTGTATCGGGTAAAACTTTCAAAAGCTTTGATTATATAAGAATAATGCTAAAAGCACGTCAAGTTTGAAGATTGAAAAATAAGTTACTATGACAATTTTAAATTTCTAAGTCGTGATGTATTACATAAAGTTTTTAATTCTGGGAGTTTTAATTTTTACGTATTATATTTCTTAAATGTATAAAAAATTTAAAAATATTTTTCATTTTCTTATTTTCAAATTTAGGTATATTGACTTGTTTAATTCACCAAATCATAATAGACTATATTAAATTAATATTTTCATGATAACATATGTAATAAGTTAAGCTAGGTGGAACCATTTATAATTTTGATCCACTAAACACGGTTTAAGTTAATTTAGCAATTACTCTTCTGTTCCTTAAAAGTATTCTTAATATATGTATATATATAATTGTTACAGCAAAAAAAATCAAAGTGTAATTTTTCAACTCTTATTATTATTTAATTCATATTATTCATTGTTTTTTTTTTATTGTTTAGAATGTCTTAATATAAAATATGACTAAGTTATAAAAAGTATATAAAAATATTATCTAACATTATATTTAAGTCTTCTTTTTAAGGTCCCAAAATTTCTGCAAGAGGTGTGTTGACATATATATAACCTTGTTCCTTAAACACAGTCAAAGTCAGATATATTTACTCGGGTAGTGTTTGACTTAATTATCACACGTTGAATAATAATTAAAATAGAAACATTTAATTGAGTGAGAAAGTTTTTGAAATTAATAAATAAGTTTAATTATTTGCTTTTATTTGATACTAAAACTTGAAGTAATTCTTATTTGGGACTCCTAAATTAAAAATAAAATTTATTAATAAAAAATAAAAAACTTTAACACCACAAATCTTAGGACAATGTAAGACTCAAACTCAATAAATATAACGCCTCTGTCTCATATTCTTAGTTCTTGGAACTTCTTGAACCAGGGCTTTCTAAATGCCAATGAATTTTCGTACTTTCAAACTTAGTTTCTAAGATCCAACCACCCTACAAATATGTCTTTTTCTTGAAACAAAAACACGACATATAACAACACTTGACAACAGCGACTGCTGAATGAGAAAATTTATCATCAGAAAATTTATGGAGAACTTTGTCATTTTCTCCACTTTTGCTTTTGCTTTCATCTCTTTCTGAAGTAGCCTTGGGATATACATAAAACAAATAAACAACACTCCTTCATATTAGTTGTTACACTGACTTTATGTTTACCATGATTTCTCCAAAAATAATGTGTACAAGTCATAACAGAGCTTGCACTTAGCTGTCTTTAAGGCATATTATGTCTCATATTCTTCTACTGTTCTAATGTCTCATTACCAGCGGAGGCCACTTAAATCTGACACATTTTGTTGCCTCTCATTTTTCAGTTCTCTTTTAGATACATTTTCTTTTATATATATGTTTTTTTGGTCAATACTTTTTTAATCATGCAGATTCATGATTATATATATATATATATAAATATATTCGTTCTGTTGTGCATAAAAAAGTCAAACACAAGAATGAGGTTTTATCCGTATAATTGTCCAAGTTCACTGTGGAAAGAAATAAAAACGTTACAACATACAATCAAAAGCAGAAAAGTTGGTCTATTCACTTCATCTTGAACTTGCATCAGAAAATAAGCACGGAAACCAATGATCATGGTTGCTGCAGTGTCCCCGCTGTTGGTTGAACTCACCATGATGCCAAATTGCCCATCAGAATTTTCCAGATCAAAACTTCACTTTCAAAAAAACAAATTACAAGGCTTTAAATTGAAGTCACAGTTACAATGAAATCTTTGATATTAGGGAGGTTTGTCGAGAAATGCCACAGTTAAGGTTGCAATTGCTGTCACATGGTGGTCATGAAATCTTCAAAGCCTTGACGTTATAACCACCACTGTAATTATGGACTGTTTTTAAAACCTTGATAAATTAGAAAGAAACTCACAACACAAAGGAGAAAAGTAAAATAGAATTGTAAGTGTAATTCTCAAGGTACAGTTGCACAACACATGCAGCTGCTGAAGAAGGAAGATCGAGGCTTTCGCTTATCTTTTTTAGGTGAAGTAGATGACACTCTATTCCTTGTGCCAGCATGGTTGTCTTGTGTCCGTGCCATGCCTAGAAGATGAGCTTCTTCCTCTTCTTTTAAGAGGCCTATGAATGGAGCTTTAGATTTCCTAGAGTAACTTCTTTCCATAGTAACTATTTTCTCTTCCACTGGCATTTCTTCACTGTGTAACATGCACTGCTCATATTGAGAATGAGGCATTGAGTTTATGAGATTCATACTATTCTGTTTTGAGAAGCTTTCATTTGCAGACTTATTCTGATTAAGCAGTGGAATCTTATCTGATTCTCCAGGCCTTGCTTCCTTTCTGAGGTTGTGATTGAAGCTTGGTGATTGTTGCATCTGACTCGAGGTGTTTGGATTGTCAGGGTTTGATTCAGTACTGGGCCTTGTTATACTTTCCTTTGTTTCATTTGCACCATTTTCAATGGACTTGTTTGAATATGGTTCAACAATGGACATGGTAGCTGTAGAAGTTGTTAGTTCTGCTTCTGCATGTTCTGGATCTTCTTTATCTTCTTTCTCAAATGCTTCTTTATTATCCAAGTCCAGAGATGGAACTGTTAACTCAGAAGAATTAGAGTTGTCAATGGTGTGGCCAGAGTTTTTGGTCTTGTTTGTTTGCTTCCAACCTAAGTTTGGCATGCTGGTAGCAGTAAAACTTCTGTCTTGCTTTACATTGTCCTGATGGTCATCATACAAATGCAACAAAGAGGAATTATTTTGCAAGGGAAAAGATTCTTCCTGATTTATAGTTACCAGATCACAATTGCACTGTTCTGACATTTCAGTCCCCTCAAAAGTATTTATCATGACATTTGAAACTTCTGGCTTTTCATTCATTTCTTCAATTTTATTCTCGTTTCCTTCATCATGTCTGCAATCAACATCAGCTAAACCTTCAATAAGAGAAACCCTTTTGGCTTCAGGAACCGCAGAATGTTTTTCTTCTGAAGTAGCACCACTTTCCTCTGAANTAGAAGATGAGCTTCTTCCTCTTCTTTTAAGAGGCCTATGAATGGAGCTTTAGATTTCCTAGAGTAACTTCTTTCCATAGTAACTATTTTCTCTTCCACTGGCATTTCTTCACTGTGTAACATGCACTGCTCATATTGAGAATGAGGCATTGAGTTTATGAGATTCATACTATTCTGTTTTGAGAAGCTTTCATTTGCAGACTTATTCTGATTAAGCAGTGGAATCTTATCTGATTCTCCAGGCCTTGCTTCCTTTCTGAGGTTGTGATTGAAGCTTGGTGATTGTTGCATCTGACTCGAGGTGTTTGGATTGTCAGGGTTTGATTCAGTACTGGGCCTTGTTATACTTTCCTTTGTTTCATTTGCACCATTTTCAAATATGGACTTGTTTGAATATGGTTCAACAATGGACATGGTAGCTGTAGAAGTTGTTAGTTCTGCTTCTGCATGTTCTGGATCTTCTTTATCTTCTTTCTCAAATGCTTCTTTATTATCCAAGTCCAGAGATGGAACTGTTAACTCAGAAGAATTAGAGTTGTCAATGGTGTGGCCAGAGTTTTTGGTCTTGTTTGTTTGCTTCCAACCTAAGTTTGGCATGCTGGTAGCAGTAAAACTTCTGTCTTGCTTTACATTGTCCTGATGGTCATCATACAAATGCAACAAAGAGGAATTATTTTGCAAGGGAAAAGATTCTTCCTGATTTATAGTTACCAGATCACAATTGCACTGTTCTGACATTTCAGTCCCCTCAAAAGTATTTATCATGACATTTGAAACTTCTGGCTTTTCATTCGTTTCTTCAATTTTATTCTCGTTTCCTTCATCATGTCTGCAATCAACATCAGTTAAACCTTCAATAAGAGAAACCCTTTTGGCTTCAGGAACCGCAGAATGTTTTTCTTCTGAAGTAGCACCACTTTCCTCTGAAGCCTTGTTGGAGTTGTTAATATAAGCATCAAATGGTACTCCATTCTCGGTGACTTTAGATTCTTCAACTTGATCATTAGTGGCAAGCCTGAAGACATCAGAATCAAGTAACATATTTCTCTCTCCATTGCAGTCCCCATTAGACTCTATTGACACATCACATATATACACCATGTTGTATTCCTTCAATGAATATTTGATGCATTGATCTGAATTGCAATCATGTGAATTCTCCATTGATCCACTTCTGCTTAATATACTTTTTCCATATGGTACCTTGCAATTTTCCTCATGGTCAAATTCAATTGGACTAACCACAACGGAAGATTCAAGAGGTGAGTTGTGGGAATCCTCAGTAGTATAATTTACTTTGGTCAATGAATTACCATTGGTGGTGGTGTCAATACTTAGGGAATCAGATGTAGTATCCAACATGTCAGTACATAATTCTACATGGGATTTCATTTCTTTAGCTAAGCCATCATTCTTAATATGCTCAGAGTGAGAATTAGTATCCAACAAATTATCTTCTAGGAGTGAGTCTGTGCCTAGAAATGATTGTTGGGAGAGAAATTTGTCTGGCTCATCATTGTCAGAATGTCCACTTGATTCTTGAATCTCTATATTGTTTGACATGTTCACAGCACTCAATGTTAAAACCGTTGATTCCTCTACATCTGCTATAATTCAAATCAAGACAATAAATACATCTTAAATTTTCATTGTGGGCTTACAATCTCTGATAATTTGGAAGCTTAACTTTAGGATTAAAATCTAAAACATTTCAACAAGTGGATCTAATCTTGCACTAATCAAGTAAATATGGACAAGGCTATCAAAATATTAACAGAATTGTCCTAACCTTGTTGGATTGGAGGCTCATTATTAAGCTGATGATTATGTGTTAGTAATATTTCTTCTCTCAAGCATGACTCTTCTTGCTTCTCGTATTCTTCAGTGCCTTCTAGTGAAGAACTTGACAAGATCTCAAAGTTTCCAGCTTCAGCTTCAAATGATCCATCGTTTGAAGTGTCAGGTTGACTGACTTCGGTTACTTCATCCCCTATAAAAGCAGAATCATAGTCTTTTTTATAAATTACTCTCAGAATTTGGTTTGGTACCTAACTCAACTGGCATTAATCAGTTAACCGTGGATAAGACTGTCAAAAAATTAACAGAACTGTACTAACCTTGTTCAGTTGAAGGCTCATTATGAAGGTGATGGCTATATGCCACCAACAATTGTTCTCTCAAGCAGGTTTCTTCTTGCTTTTCATATTCTTCAGTGTCTTCAAACGATGAAAAACTCTCAGAGTTTCCATCTTTAGCTTCAACCGCTTCATCATTTGGAGACTTTTCAGGTTGTCTGAAATCAGATATTTCATCCCCTATAAAACAAAATTATAAGTACGTTTTTTGTAAATTACTCTTAGATAAGAAGGCCTAACTCAAATGGAATTAATCAAGTAAATATGGACAAGACTATCAAAATATCTAGAAAAGGTCCTAACCTTGTAAGATTGAAGGATCACTATTGAGGTCATGATTATCTGTTACTAACATGTGTTCTCTCATGCGTGTCTCTTCTTGCTTCACATATTCTTGAGTGTCTTCCAATGAAGAACTTGACAAGATCTCCAAGTTTCCACCTTCAGTTACAACTGATCTATCAATTAGAGACATTTCAGGTTGTCCGACTTCAGTTATTTCATCCCCTACAAAACAGAATCGTTATCAATCTTTTATAAGGCCTAACTCAATTTTGTTTTAGAAAATGTGGATAAGGGCGACCAAAATATTAAAAGTATAGCCTTAAATCCTGACCTTGTTGGATTGAAGGCTTATTATTAAGGTGATGATTACATGTTTCTATCCAGTGTTCTCTGAAGCACGCCTCTTGCTTCTCATATTCTTCAGTGCCTTCCAAAGAAAAACTTGACAAGCTCTCAGACTTTCCACCTTTAGCTTCAACTGATCCATCGCTTGGAGACTTTTCAGGTTGTCTGACTTCAGTTATTTCATCTCCTATAAAACAGAATTATGAGTAATTTTTGTAGATTACCCTTAGAAGTTGATCTTATAATCTTAAGTTGGACAAAAGTTGGTGACCAGATTAACAACACCCTTTCATTCCTAGGGACAGACATCTAAAGTACAGACAAAAACAGGAGACCCAATAACATATTTTGGATAGACTTAAATATCATCTTAAAACTTGGACTCACCAAAATCAATTCCACAAAATCAGTTCGTAAGCTAAGTATTGCTTGAAGCTTATAAAGACTAGATAACATCTGGTCTAAGTGAGATTTGAACAATCAGTATTAGTTATTTTATATGCATCATTTTGAAAGAAATTACCAACCTGAACCTTCAAAAGAATTTGTCAACTTCAATGCAGCATCGGAAGCTGGGATGATAGATTTTTCCTGAACATCTTTGCCATTGGCAGTAAGGTTTACTGCATTAGCTTCTTGTTTATCTTCATGAGTTTTATCATCAAATTCACTTGTTTCATCATCAAAATCCAGGCTTGTTTCTATGTGTAGTTGATCGNTTTGGATAGACTTAAATATCATCTTAAAACTTGGACTCACCAAAATCAATTCCACAAAATCAGTTCGTAAGCTAAGTATTGCTTGAAGCTTATAAAGACTAGATAACATCTGGTCTAAGTGAGATTTGAACAATCAGTATTAGTTATTTTATATGCATCATTTTGAAAGAAATTACCAACCTGAACCTTCAAAAGAATTTGTCAACTTCAATGCAGCATCGGAAGCTGGGATGATAGATTTTTCCTGAACATCTTTGCCATTGGCAGTAAGGTTTACTGCATTAGCTTCTTGTTTATCTTCATGAGTTTTATCATCAAATTCACTTGTTTCATCATCAAAATCCAGGCTTGTTTCTATGTGTAGTTGATCTAATTTCTCTTCAACTGTTTTGTGCTTTTGATGATTTGCATTAACATCATCCTCAGGGTCTCCTTCATATTTATTATTTTCAAGTGAACTTCTAGAATAGTAGGAAGTCATTCCTGTAGTCTTCTCCTGAACATCCTCGACTTCAGCAGTTGGTTGATGTATTTTATTTTCCATATTCAAGTCACTTTTGCAAGTATCTTCTTCCAACAAATCATTTTTAAGCCTGCTTTCCGTATTGTTAGAATTTAGCCCTGTGACTTCATCCTGAAAAGCTTCGGCTTCTTCCTCCTGAACATCTTTGTCTTCATCCGATGGAAGCATTTTCATGTTTTCTTTCATACGATCACCTTGACTATCTTCTTGCAGTGTAACTTTTCCAAGTTCAGTTGTTGCATCTTCGGAAGCCAGTGCTGCCGCACCTTTCTCCCGAACAACTTCAGCTTCAGCTGTTGGAGGAGTTTGATTTTCCATATTTACATCACTTGCATGAGTATCTCCTTTCATTGAATCATTTTCAAGCACTGTTGTTGTATGGTTAGAAGCAAAGCCTATAGTTTTATCTTGAGAGTCTTCATCTTTGGCTTCATCTGTTGTAATTGTTTGAGCTTTCCCTTTTACATCTTCTGCATGACCTTCATCCTGCCATGTATCTTTCCCTGGCTCATTTGTTATATCAATTGAAGCTTTTTCCGCAACATCTTTGGCTATAGATGTTTCATTAGTATCGTCTTGGAAACCATTTTTCTCCGCTTCACCTAAGTTATCTTCCTCTGCAAAATGGAAAATGAAATTAAGAGTTAAAGACAGGAAAAATTGTACTGTACTTAACCAAAATTTCTTCAGCAATCCAAAAAAACATGTACCTTTGATAGCAGATGTGTTGTTATTACCCATTTCGTTGCCCATGCTCAGCTTTCCAAATCCTGCAATATAACCAATGCAAAGAGATTATGCTATAATCCCCACACGATTGATTTGCTTATAATAGAACAAGATATATCAATTAAAAAGGCTCGGAGTTAAAAATCTCCAAGAACAACAAGGCTATGCCATACCATGATAGTGATACTGATGATGATGTTCACATGCTCTTAACTTTAGACATTTGAGGACAGCTTCATTTATGCGACATTGCCAGAGTGTTTATAGCCAGTAACATGGTCTTGCTTGCTCCATATTCTTCATTCTGGGTCAGATATGTTTGCATAATTATCACACCCTTAAAGTAATTGATCACATGTAAAACTTCATCTCTTTTTTATCTATCTGGCATTACAAACTTAGACCATGATTGCTTCATAATCTAAGATAATGTGACCAAACAGCATTCACTTTCGGTGAGTCCATGATTATTAAGCAGCCTTAGCCTATATACCCTATGCATATGTGTTCTTTAAAATGTTGTAAAAAATGCTGTCATTACAATTTAACAAGTTATAACAAACCATCATTGTTCCTATGCTGTTTGTTGTTGAGCTTTTGGGAAAACATATTCAACCTCAAAGGGCTTTTGCTTTTCTAAAGTAAGGATGTCTGAATGGACAAAGGAACCGATGAATACAGGTAGGATCATGGGACATGTCCATTAACAATTTGCAAAGAATGAGAATGACATAGCCATTGTCTATTTACTTTTCCATTTGTGTGATGATCATGATTAGGACTTAATCTTTTTCTGGTACATAAAGATGATTCTTTGTATGCAAGGTGGCTTGGGAAACAAGTACCATAATTTTTGGCATTGGATTCATCATTGTGTGCATTATTTCTCTGTACTTTCTGCTTTTCTATATGATAAGAAGTTTAACAACTCACACCTTCTCAATTTTTTAACTCTTGGAAAGGAACATCAAGAAAAGTTTGTTGCGTTTGTCAAAGGAGTGATATTTTTATAAAAGTTTGTCTATTATCATTTTTATGACTAAGAAATTCTATTGACTTTTTTAATGATTTATAAAAACATCGTATTTTTTTTAGTACAAAAAAGCACTTTTTCACAAGTATCTTTTTTCTAACGCGATAAATTAAATGATTAAATTTCTTACAACTTTAATATACTGTAGTCTTTGTAAGATAATTAGTTTTGATTTTAATTTCTGTAAGAATTTAATTTTATATATATAACCGTGTTTTGTTAAATAATATCTTAAAATGAAAGAAAAAAGAAACAAAATTCTATAGTGATAGGGTTGGTTCAAGGTCTATAAAACTCTTGTTTTAGACCTTAAAAAAAAGTCTCAAAAATATATTTTTAATATTAATTACTTTAGATTTTAACAAAAATGTTTTAAAAAAATAGTACTAATTATTTTATGCCTTAAAAAATGGTTTTAAAACTGATATTATTTTTAAGTTTGTTTTAGACTTTTTCAAATTCTTGAGTCACTCTTATATAATGAAAATTGGTTGCATTTAGGAAGAGACGCTTGAACAATTCATAGTCCAGACCAACTTTTCATTAAATACAAATAAAGTTTGTATAATAATGACAAACTTACCTAATCAATTTATGTATAATAGTTATAATTTTTCAGAATTATTCATTGAGTTTTTTTTTAAAAAAAATTGTGCTTTCAATATAATTTTTAATTTTGTTAAAAAAAAGTTCAATGTAATATTTTTTTTATTACATTGGTTTTGATTTCGTTAAAAGGATCATAATTTACAAATTCACATGGAGACGAGAGATAATTTAAAATAGTAGTATTCGTCTTTCTTATATATAGTTAGGTTAAATCATTTGAAATCTTTCTTACAAGTTGTTAGATTTCAAATTAAATTGAAAAAAGAATAATAATAACAAGTAAAGCTATTATTGGGTTGCATGGAATGAAGTAATTCTTTGTCACTACTCACAAAATTTAACAGAGTTTCCAAAGAATTTCATCCTCCAAAATCAAAAAAGCCTTTATGATTAAATATCATTATCCTCTCTTATAATTTATAAATCTTATATATCTAAGTTTATCGTAAAATTAGGTGCATCTGGCCTATCTATTCAAAAGAAAAAAATTGAAAAATCATAAATAAATAAAAAATATGTTTAGATATAATATGGATAAAATTAATTATAATATTTTATTTTCATCTTATCCGGGTGCAGCGCATGGTGTGTGGGTACCAAGTAGTAGGAAATTTGAAGAGATAACAAACGCAGAAGCAATGACAATGGCAATGGCAATGGCGAGTTCTGCAAGCTGTACGGTGTCGTTTAGGAACAGCTTCGGTCTCAACAAACCCTGTAACACTCATCTTCTCTTCCTTCTTTCTTCCATTCTTCATCTTTTATTCTCTGTTTGTGTTTGTGAAATCAATGATTTTGATTTTGACTTTCAGCGGATCTTGGCTTCGTCAGCTCGCAGTTGAGCGGCCTCAGAATCTGCTGCCCCAAATTCCCCACACCGCCCGTCACCGCTTCTCCCTCGTTCCCCGCACCTCTCCCCATCGTAGCCAGTAAGCAATTCCCGTTACTTCTTCATTTCTCTGAATTTCACCCAATTCGTTAACCCTAACATTCATGTTGGTCCCCGTTAGTAATTAGGAAATGTATAGCCAGTTGGAAATTTTCTTCCAACATTGTTTTCTTCTTCTTCTTCTTTTAATTATCTGTACCAATATACTTCCTCCACCCCCAAAATCTCTAAATCATCTCCTTTTTTTACTTCATATATTCAAAATTGTATCCATATTTTGTATTTTTAATCTGTAAAGGAAATTATTGCTTGAGAGAGGGAG